ACACTTTACAATAATGAATCATTTGTTAACATTAGTTAACTACATTAGTTCAAATAAACTATTTCTACTGGGTTTAATAATCTTTTTACTAAAGATTAGTAATCTTTATACGAAGAAATGCATTTACTCTAATATATTTTAAAATCAAAATTTGTATCTTAAAGTGCCCCTATTATGCCTTTTCGAATATTACCTTTCATGCAGTGTGTCATGTAGCTGTATGTGAACATAAACTATCTGCCGACAGTGCACGATAAATAAAGTTATTGTCTATCAAAAAAAAAAAAAGAGTCGACTCGCAATCGCCTAAACGAGTCGTAAAGGAATTCGAATCTTATTCTGTTACGGCTCTACGTCACGAAGTAACACATTTGCATAATGTCTACCCACGTTCTACGTCGCCAACTTGCCCACCCACAAACAGTAAAATTTCTGTGTGGTTAACATCATGTCGAGAAGACGCTGTATCCTACGCTGTGAGAGTAAATTTGTTTTATCATATCTTATAATTACCACAAACTTGTTAACACTTGACACTTACCACTGAGAAACGTCCTGCTCCAGTCGTGCATGCGAATCAGTCTCTTGTCGATCAGAGAGTTCAACCGTTTCATCATCAGACTCCGGCTTGAATTGGTAAGGTACAATCCATACTGCATCCCTAATGTATTGACAAGTCTCCAGGGCTGTCACTCCGTCATGGCAATGGCCGTTTCGTTTCCGACATGCGCTGTACGCGGTAGACCAATCCAGAGCCAATCTCTCTACGGCTCTGGACCAATCACCAATGACTGCGCCATCTGACTAATCACATCAGTGAGGGCTCACAGAAAGGAGGGGTTTAGAGAGACTGATTCTTTGAACTGCTTCGCACAAGTCGAAAACTAACGTGTTTTTTGACCTTGCATGAATGTAAACCTGTTTTAGGAGACTCATAAAACAATATTAGCAACCTCAAGAACGACATAATAGGGGCACTTTAAAATTACTTAATGCACTTCAAACTAACATGAACAAGCAATGAACAATCGTATTTTTATGAACTAATATTAACAAAGATTAATAAATGGGTCAAAGACGAGACGTCACCATTTTTGTGTCCGCATCAAATTACATTTACAAATGTAATTTTGTAATGATTTTACCATTACATCTTTAAGGACTCACCCACGTGTTGTTCCAAACCCATAAGACCTTCCTTCATCTTCGGAACACAAATTAAGATATTTTTGATGAAATCCAAGAGCTCTCTGACCCTCCCATAGACAGGAAGGGTCCTACCACGATCAAGGCCCAGAAACGTAGTATAAGGACATTGTTAAAATAATCCATGAGACATCAATGGTTCAACCGTAATTTTTTTTTCAACCGCTATTTTTGTTTTCTTTGTACACAAAAAGTATTCTCATGGTTTCATAAAATTACAGTTGAACCACTGATGTCACATAGATTATTTTAACGATGTCCTTACTATGTTTCTGGGCCTTGAACGTGGTAGGACCCTTGCTGTGTATGGGAGGGTCAGAGAGCTCTCAGATTTCATCAAAAACCTTAATTTGTGTTCCGAAGAAGAACGAAGGTCTTACGGGTTTGGAACGACTTGAGGGTAATTAAATGACAGAATTTTCATTTTTGGGTGAACTATCCCTTTAACAATTTTCCTCTAGTTTTAAAGCTGATTTCAAGAAAGCATTTTGTATATCATCAAGAAACTACATGACATGAAGTGTGACATTCTAAAATTCAAAAAAATAATTACACACTACACAGACAATATATTGGACAAAACCAACCGAAGTTTTAAAAACATTTAAACAGTTTCATTATCGGTTTATTTCTTATTATTTCTTTAAACTTCTGCAAAATCGTTATGAAGTTAAGTAATCTATTGTGTGAACTTCGGTATAGAACAAGGAAGTTGCATCATGAGATGGCACAACCACACAAAGCCACAGAAGGCTACATCATGAAGTAACTGCTCAAAAAATTTACAAAGCACTCACATTTAACAATAAAGTTGACTCTATTTGAAGATTAACTTGCCATTGGTTGGACATTGATAACTGGTATTGCAAAAACCTAGCTAATATTTCACTTTGTTAAATGTCTGTTTTCAGTTGTTTGTTTTTTTTAATTCAGAGAAATAAAAATTAAAAGAATTAAATTATGTTCATCCTTATTTCTTGTTATATTTTAACTTTGAGCAGACACACCCTGGTCTCTATCTACATTACTAAAGAATCATTATGCACGGTAATTGTTACTTATGAGTCTGAAACCTAACACAGGTCATTAATAATTCTGCATCCTCATAAAAAACATCTGCACAAGCAAGCCATGGCCGAAACAATGGTGTGGCACATCAGACACAATTTCTATCCCATGTATCCATTTAGCCAGTCTTTATAACAACAAACTGCTATCTGTAAGGACGACAGCCTTTGTTGTTTGATCATGCATCTTATGGAGCATCTAATGGGTGATCACACAGTACGACATGCTCAGATAATAACTCAGTACTTCCTGGTCACCTGGACCAGCATGAAAGGCCCAACAATGGGTGAGAACATCAAAACAGTTAATTTCCTTTCATTCAGCTATTGTTGGTTTCAAACTTTGTTATACAGGTCTAAGTGTCAGGCTGGAGTTTAGTTTGAGTGCCAGCACTTATAAATGCCAATAGCATCCTCTTGGCTGCTTCTAAGATGGAGAGAAGAGGGAGATCTTTGTTGCACCCAACGAGAGCGGGATGCTATTTTAAGAAACAGTGCAGGAGCTTTGTTCAAGAGTTTCATTTATCATACAGCTGTCAAACTAATATCGTTTAAAACTAAATCATGTCTACCCACAGTACCTTTGACATCCTTTGAGAAGACCAAGGCACAGAATTAATAATGAAAGTATAGTAGATGTTTGAAAACACTCATCAGATCATGTCTGTACAATTATTTAAATAATACTAATATAAACAGTGTGTGTGAAGTACAGGGTTACTGCAGGTTTTATGAAGGTAAATTGAAAACCTTTTTAAGAACAAATAAAGAAAATCTAAGCAATAAATTGAAGGCAGCACATCAATATGCTGTTTAAATGTAAATGTCTAGGGAGCAGACAATGAGTTGTATTGGCAGCACTTCAAATTCAACCTCCAACACATCTTTTCATTACTTTTTTATTAATTTTACAAAACGAATGGCTATGGCTTTAGGCTTTCCTAACTTTGCTTACAAACACTAGAATATGAAAATAACTTTTACTGATCACACTGCAATTCTTGCTCAGTATGTTTGTCTTGTTTTCCAGCAAAAATATTAAGATGTATTTACTTGATACAGAAGACAAGTCTTGTTTTCTGTGAAACTGATCAAAATGAAGTAAGTTTGATATAAAAAAAGATTAGGCCTATCTGCCAATGGGTTCAACTTAATTCAAAATGAAAACAAGTTTTCATGCCCCAAATGTTTTCTTATTTTTAACAAACTCACATATAGTTTCTCAAAAAATAAGACTTCATATCTTCATTTTACATTTCAAGGATAATTAAATTTAAAGGAACACTCCACTATTTTTGAAAATAGGCTCATTTTCCAACTCCCCTAGAGTTAAACATTTGAGTTTTACCGTTATCGAATCCATTCAGCCGATCTCCGGGTCTGGCGGTAGCACTTTTAACTTAGCTTAGCATAGATCATTGAATCTGATTAGACCTTTGCATCTCTCTCAAAAATGACCAAAGAGTTTCTATATTTTTCCTATTTAAAACATGACTCTTCTGTAGTTACATCGTGCAGCAGGCACAATGATATTACGCAGTGCCTGAAAATAGGCTTATTGGAAGTTACCTAGCTGGGACTATTTTCAGGTGCTGCGTAATATCATTGCGTCTGCTGCATTCATGGTACGGCAGCAAAGTTCCTTGATTATTACGCCGGAATGAGAGTATAGTTCCTAGCCATATCGGCCTAGAAAATCGCAACTTTTCATTTTCCATTGGTCTTAGTGCACGATGTAACTACAGAAGAGTCAAGTTTTAAATAGGAAAAATATCGAAACTCTTTGGTCATTTTTGAGCGAGATGCTAACGGTCTAATCAGATTCAATGATCTATGCTAAGCTACAGCTAAAAGTCCTACCGCCAGACCCGGAGATCGGCTGAATGGATTCGAAAACAGTAAAGCTCAACTGTTTAACTCTAGCGGAGTTGGAAAATTAGCCTATTTTCAAAAATAGTGGAGTGTTCCTTTAAGGATGTTCAGCTATTGCTATGGAAAACAAGACAAAACACTAAGGAAGATATCAATTTTTTGCAATGCTTGACATTATTTAAGAATTTTTGTAAGATCTTTTAATGCCTTAATTTGTGGAATTAAGACTTCTTAGCAAACTTCATTTCTGTGTGCTAAAAGTACTAAACTTTAATTCAACCAAACTCTGCCAGGACTCATGGGATTTACCAGGAGTATACCAAGAAAGATTTCAATGTGGAAATGAAATCTAGATTTTAAGCCACATGAAAATAGTCTGAGAGGAGGGAGCAGTCAAGAATAAATGCCCCTCATATCAGTTTTAACCAGATGGTGCCCATATGTGAAAAGTCCCTTTCAAGTTATCCAAATTTCCCAGACAAATATGAAAATTCAGCAATCAGTAACATGCTTTACATACGATTGAACATACAATGGACCTGTGTTCCTTCCTGAGCATCACAATAACAGAACTTTAAATTTGAATAAAATAACAATGAAAGAAATCACATACAAAGCTGTCGCTGAGGAGGTATCCTTACATCTTTATATCGTGTCTACCCCTAAATGGTAGATATTAGTACCTTTGGAAAGGGCACCATATCAAGTGACAGCTTCGTACCTTTTTTCCTGAAAGTTCATGTGCGCCCATGATAAGTGAATTTGACACACAAGCACTTGCAACATGCTTTCATGTTCCTCCAGAGCTGAAATCAGTCCTATTTAATAAACATAAATGCCTTTTTAAATACTCACTTGAATCTTCCCTGGCAGTGTTGACACTGGTCCCCAACCCATCCACGATCACAGACACAAGATCCGTTCACACAGCTGCCTGACAGGCAGCTCTTCTCGCAGGGTTTAGATGGAGAGCCGTCTGAAATCAGCACCAGGGAGAACATCACACACAGCCATAAATATATCTGCATGCCCTGCGGTCTCTGTCTGACCAGAATCAGTTCAGGTCTGAGCATCTTCTTCCCAGCATTCATGGTTTAGGGATGCTGCTGCTGTTGCTGAATTGGGTATCAATATCGTAGGGCCTTTCTTCCCTGCTTACTGGTGCCCAGATTGTTTCAATTATAACAGCAGGGGGGATCCGTTCACTTATAGATCATGAATATTCCTTAAATACGAGCGATCGTTTCCCAACGCGTGAGCAATCGTTTAATTGAAAACCTCCAGATCCGAGTGTAATATGATAAAACGAGCATAAACACAGGCATATTAAATCATCTGTCTCGCCTCATTGTGTTTCTGAACAAGGGCAGGAATTTCCTACGTTACCTCCTGCAGTTACAGGGCTGAAAAATAACTCCCCCTAACATTGAAAAAAAGCTTTCCTTCCAGAGCATTACCATAAGTGATGAGATATTTCCAGCTTTAAAGCATTATATTATTCAGCGGTCTTATTTTGATCCCGTCCGCAGCCATTTTAAAGCGTAAACACTCAGCTGGCTGTCCAAATACACTGCTGGTGTGCTTTAAACGCCTTTAAACCGTGAGCTTTCGTGGCTAACGTTCATATGCCACGGGAAAAACGCTAAACGGAGAAGGTTTCGGAGTGAAAAGCATCCTTTATAACCGCAGCAGTCAGTAACACGGATGTCGTTTCTGCTGTTGTCCGTTGAGCTGAGGGATTTGGAAAACCTGAGGAACTATCCGTTATCCGCATATTTCTTCGCTGTTTTTCAGGCTCAACGTGATAAACTCCTTAACGAAAGCGTAGACCCTCAGTGTATGTATATATCCTCTTCGTCCCAGTGCGCTGAAACCCTCTCAGTGTGTGAATTTTGGCCCCCTCGACCACCGTTTAAGCTCCCATAGTACGAACAGCTCGCGCTGGCTGCTCCTCATGTTGGAGCAAACTCAACACAGAGATGTCCGCGGCCGCGCATGCGCAATGGAAAGAGACCATATTTAAAGAGACAGTGACCAGTATGTGCGTCCCTGGAATGTACATTGCAGTACTTGAAAAGCTTTGTTACACATTTTGTCTTCAGGAAGTGTGTGAAAACCTAACTTCCTACCGCTATTATAGATTTTTTTTTTAACAATGTACCAATTTCAAAACACAGTCCAGAATGCTCCATGTACTATACTGACTACTACAGTAATGTATATTCTCACTGAATATGAAGGTTTTATGACCCAGATTTCAATCACATTTTCAAGCCCCCATCTCAAATATGAACTTTGTCCTTCTCTTGAGTGTTAAGGTGCATCTCAATACACTATGTGCTGCCAACTCAAGTTAGGCTGAAATACTGTATGATGTCCAGCACTTTGAGTTCATTTATTAGTGTCAAACTTTCATGCACCTCAAATATATGCTCTCTTATACAAGCAATATGAAGCAAAGATCGTTTAGGCTTGGTAATTATTTTATTTTTTTAATGTGCTTGTTTCTATCATGCTCACCAAAGTTGCATTTATTTGATCAACATACAGTAAAATAGTATTATTGTGAAATATTATTACAACATAAAATAGCTGTTTTCTATTTTAATATATTTAGAAATTTAGAAATGTAATTTATCTCCGAGGTCACACAGTGAATTTTCAGCAGTTATTACTCCAGTTTTCACTGTCACATGATCCTTCAGAAATCATTCTAATATGCTGATTTGGTGCTCAAGTTACATTCATTATTATCACAGTTGAAAACGATTGTGCTGCATTTTTTGTGGAAACCATGATACTTTTTTCAGATTACATTAATGGATTGAAAGAACACAAGAACAGCATTTATTTTAGATAGATTTTTTTTTTGTAACAGTGTAAAAGTCTTTACTGACACATTTGCTCAATTTAATGCATCCTTGCTGAATAACAATAACAAAGTGAAAGTATACGGTTTGATCTAACATTCATATAGTAGTAGTACAGAAAGCAAACGCTAGGTTGGATCTCTTTAAGACCGTAAAAAGTAAAACATTTATTCACACAACAGTAAATCTGTTGTTATACAGAATGTAATTGTCAGGGAGTCTCACCACCGTCACCAGCCCCAGTGCACACCAGATCCCAATCACCTGAATACTGATTGCCCGCACCTGTCTCAGCTCATTAAAGGGTTAGTTCACCCAAAAATGAAAATTAGCCCATAAATTACTCACCCTCAAGTAATCCTAGGTAGTGATGCAAAGTCAGATTCATTTCCACGAACCGGTTCTTTTCGGACAGATCGGCTAATTGAACCGGCTCAAAAAGCGATTCATTGGTTCCTAAAGTCATTAAGCAATAACGTCTACGCATTTCTTTTCTAACAGCTCAGTGCAATGTTGTATCAATGAAAAATTCAAATAAGGTATTCGTGTCAACACATATTGACACATTAAAAAAATAAAGTTATTTGTGTGAAAGCATATCGCTCATTATTACCATATAATTCACTTAAGTTAATGGTGTTTGTGGTCACAGTTTCATTCGCGGATACTTTATGTCAGATACTGACTGACCAATATTGACAAGCCTACAACTTGGATAAGATTCCTAAAAGTTCCACATCTACAGCACACATTACAGACATTGACGCACAAACGCGGATATGTTCTACATGTCTACAGTATAAAGAATTAATAAACCAGTCTTATTAACTCCTTGATTTTGCTTAAGCAACTGTAAATATAATATGCATGCACAATAAACTTTTGTAAAATTTATTTACATCACTTGACAAAGGTTTTTTGCAGGTTTTAATAAAATGTAAATTAATAACAGTCATAATAAGCATATTTCCAGTACGCGCCTCATGCTTGCACATAGTCATCAACTCACTCATCAGAATCTTTGGTAATCCTCTGCAAACTTCGCCACAGCTCATTCGGTTCTTGTTGAGTCCTTGGTAATCCTTGGCAAACTTCGACAGTTGAAGTTGGCTCAATTGGTTCTTTTTGAGTTGAATGTGTTACTTCGGCTGTGTGTCCTGCGTCATCAACCTGGAACTAAAGTTCGATTCAGTTCGATTTGTGAACCGGCTCGACCGGTTACTTCCTGAGAACCGGCTCAAAAGAACGATTCATTCAAAAACTGAACATCACTAATCCTAGGTGTATATGACTTTCTTCTTTCAGATGAATCCAGTCGTAGTTATATAAAAAATTGTCTTTGATCTTTCAAGCTGTTTAATGGCACTCAGCGGGTGTTGCAGTGCATCAGTCCAAAAGAAGTGAAATAAAAAGCGCCCATCCATAAAATAAATGGTCTCACACGGCTCTGGGGGGTGAACAAAGGCCTCCTGTAGCGAATTGATGCGTTTTTGTAAGAAAAATATCCATATTCAAAACGTAATAATCACTTTAATGTAGCTTGCGCCAACAGTTGTACATGGAAGCAGCTCCGGGAGGATGACGTATGAGGTCAGCGTTGCGCATACACTGGTGAGTCTCGTGAAAACCAACATTTGTTAACAGGAGCAAAGGAAACAAAGTTTCTGTGAACCGGCTCGACCGGTTACTTCCTGAGAACCGGCTCAAAAGAACGATTCATTCAAAAACTGAACATCACTAATCCTAGGTGTATATGACTTTCTTCTTTCAGATGAATCCAGTCGTAGTTATATAAAAAATTGTCTTTGATCTTTCAAGCTGTTTAATGGCACTCAGCGGGTGTTGCAGTGCATCAGTCCAAAAGAAGTGAAATAAAAAGCGCCCATCCATAAAATAAATGGTCTCACACGGCTCTGGGGGGTGAACAAAGGCCTCCTGTAGCGAATTGATGCGTTTTTGTAAGAAAAATATCCATATTCAAAACGTAATAATCACTTTAATGTAGCTTGCGCCAACAGTTGTACATGGAAGCAGCTCCGGGAGGATGACGTATGAGGTCAGCGTTGCGCATACACTGGGGAGTCTCGTGAAAACCAACATTTGTTAACAGGAGCAAAGGAAACAAAGTTTCCTTACTTTAGCAAAGGAAAACCAGTCTCCTCTTGGCTTATATCGAAATCCTCAGACATTCTTCCTTGCAAATCCTCGTTTTGTACTTCTAATTAGTTACTGTTGTTTTGTTTTGATCTCATCCCGCTGCCCGTTTGTCAATAAACCTGTTGTTGTTAGAACTTACCTCTGTGTCTCTGGCCTGTTTGCTGACAGAAGACCAGACCGGAAAACATTCAATTAGATGTGATGGATCCCCAGCACCCAATGCCAGTGGACGTGCTGGAGGAGCTGGTCAATGCCATTCGTGCTTCCATCACTCCCATCACAACCCCTCCGTCTGCCTCTGTCAGTCCCATGGCCCTTCCTGCTTCCTATTCGGGTGAGGCGGTCGAGTGTAGCGGTTTCCTGCTCCAAGTGGCCCTATTTATTGAAATGCAGCCACAAAAATTCCCCATGGAACGAACCAACGTCGCTTTCCTGATTTCACTCCGGTCAGGCAGAGCGTTGCTGTGGGCCCAAGCAATCTCGAATGCTCAGAGTACCATCATTAACTCCTTGGACGCCTTCACGAATAACTTCAAGGAAGTGTTTGGCTCCACCGATGGAGTGTTGTCTGTTCCCGATCAACTCCTGCGGTTGCGCCAGGGCACTTCTTCAACCAGTGTGTGGCGGGAGGACCAAACGACAGACACAGTGGGTGTGGCGTTAGGCCTCGGAGAGGCTTTTATTAACAGAAAATAAACAAAGTGTCCAGAAAAAGGGAATAAAGTGTCCAAAATAAACAGGGGATCTGGTGTCCTCGTCGTGCTGCGGGGTTCGTGAAGGTGGGGCAGTGTGCGGGAAGGAAGGGTCCAGTTGGTCGGGTGCAGTTCTCGTCCGGACCGCGGGTCCGGTAGCTCGCATCTTCGGCGGCACAGAGATCCCTCAACACTCCCTTCCTGGACCCATGAGGACACCAGCGTGCATGCACGAGGAAGAGACCGGTCTCCCGAGGAGAGGCGCTCGGCATTTAAACAGTGGCGGTGATGAGGCTCCATTCTGTTCAGGGGTGCCTCATCACACGCCGCCAGTCCTGGCTGTTTCAGCGCCCCTCCTCTCTCACGTACCCACTCCTGGCGGGAGCCTGGCGATTAAGGGACAGGGTGATGCTGATAATTAGGGGGGAGGCAGCCAACTCGTCACATTGATTACACGCTCCAATTCCGCACACTGGCGGCAACTAGCGGTTGGAATGAGGCCGTGGATCCATGCATTCGTGCGCAGATGGTGATTTATGATGACACTATGGGATTGGAAATTTTCCTGCGCTGAGGATTTCCCAACGACTCTCCGCTTGCACACCCGAAGAAACGGCTAGCCTCACCCGCAGCCGGTCCTCCAGTACCAGAACCAATGTAACCAACGGAGCGTGCTCGCCGTCTCACACCTGGACTCTGCCTGCACTGTGCGTCCGCCGATCATGTCATCAAAACCTGCTCCGTTTGACCCCCACGCCCTGCGGTGAGTACTCTTCAGTTAGATCCTGATGTTTCCACCCTGTCACTACTACCAGTGCAACTTCTCACCCCAGATCCTTCTGTTTCAGTGTCCGCCCTCGTCGACTTGGGCTACTCGGGAAACTTAATTTCCCAAGAGCTTTTGAATCGTCTACACCTGCCCCGCAGACGTCAAGCCCGGGAGCTCCGAGTCGAAACCATCCAGGGAAAACCGCTAGGGTGCGGGCGGGTCAAATATCGAGCTCCCCCAATGATGCTTCAGATTGGATGCTTGCATAAGGAAACTATCACTTTTCTGGTACTGGAGGGACCCACCGGGGACATCATCCTGGGATGCCCCTAGCTGAACCAACAATCTCCAGAAGTCAGATTGGATCCCTGTGAAATTACTTGCTGGAGAAAGGCTTGTCATCAGAATTGTCTCTTCGCAGTTCCCAAACCGCTCTCGGCCCCTGTTAACCCCCAAATCTGTTCCACACTCATTGAAAGTCCTGAACCTCAGGATGTACCCTCGATCCCATCTGACTACGTGGTGTTCCAGGATGTCTTCAAGCAGGTAGCTACCCGTTTGCCCCCACATCGGCCATGGGACTGTGCTCGATCCACACTCCCCAAGGGTAGAGTGTATCCATTGTCCATCCCAGAGCGCAAGGCAATGGAGGAGTACATCCGGGAGGCTCTCCAGCAAGGATTCATCCACCCTTCCACTTCACCCACCGCTTCCAGCTTCTTCATCGTGGGAAAAAAGAACTGAGGCTTGAGGCCCTGCATCAATTACCGCGCACTGAACTCGCAAATAGGGAAGTTGCCGTATCCACTTCATCCTGGAACACCACATAGGCAGCCCTCGAGGAATTCCATGGAGCTCTCATTTTCACCAAGTTGGACCTGCGGAGCGCAAACAACCTCGTTCGCATCCGGGAAGGGGATGAGTGGAAGATCGCATTCATCACTCCATCAGGCCCCTACGAAGATCAGGTGATGCCGTATGGCCTAGCTAACTCCCCGTCCGTCTTCCAGGGGTTCATGAACGAGGTGTTCCGGGAGTTCCTCTATCGCTTCATGACTGTTTACATCGATGATATCCCGATATACTCCTGGAACCTGGCCGAACATCGCCACCACGTAAAGCAGGTTCCCAAGCAACTCAGGAAGTACCATCTCTATCTGAAGCTCAAGAAATGCAAGTTCCACCGTCCCACCATGCAGATCCTTGGCTATGTCATCCGCCCTGAAGGTATCCAGATGGACCAGGGGAAGGTGCAAGCCATCCGGGAGTGGCCACTGCCTCAGTCAGTTAAGGAACTGCAAAGATTCCTTGGATCCTCCAATTTCTACCGACGTTTCATCAATAATTTCAGTCTCCTCATGGCACCCCCACCTCCATGCTCCGCTGTAAGCCGAAGTCTCTGTCCTGGACCCCCAAAGCCCACAAATCCTTTGCCCAGCTCAAGGAAGCCTTCAGCACAGCCCCGATCCTTCGTCACCCTGACCCGCAAGTACCATTTGTAGTGGAGGTAGATGCATCCACCAACAGGGTAGGGGCCGTGCGGTCCCAGTATCACGGAGAGCCTCCTCATCTCCATCCTAGCGCCGCCTTCTCCAGGAAACTCACCCCAGCAGAACAAAATTATGATATTGGAAACCGAGAACTGCTTTCCATTAAGTTAGCTCTGGAGGAGTGGTGCCATTGGCTGGAGGGAGCACAGATTCCGTTCACCGTCATCATCTGACCACAAGAGCCTCCAGCATCTGCAGAATGCCAAACAACTCAATCCCCTTCAAGAACGCTGGGCACTCTTCGTCACAAGATTTAATTTCACCTATCGCCCTGGAGACCGTAATGTGAAGGCCGACTCCGTCTCACGTATCCACTCCCCTGATGTGCCCTCTGAACCCCAGCTCGGAGGGCCACACCTGCATTCTCGTAGCAGTGGACCGGTTCTCTAAGGCAGAGGTCCCCAACCACCAGGTCGCGACCCTCTACCGGGCTGTGGAAGAATTGCTACCAGGTCGCAAGAATGTTCTGGGGAAAATGTGTATAGATATGACACTCTGTTATTTATTTATGCTAATTATTGTTCTAATTATTCTGTATATTCTTTGTATGCGATTCATCAGTGGCTGCTCGTCGGGGGAGGCAGGGAAGGCACAGCTTCCCCATAATTTTGAGGTGAAAATGGGAGGAGGACGATTTACTGTTAATAAAATTTACAATTAATTTCAGTTCATGTCTCAGAATGTGTATTTTTGTTTGTAATTTCACAATTGTAATATCATAACATGAAAGCGCCGCTTTTCTATCGCGAATGTGCCGAATCTGCTGATGTAATTACAACCGCAAATGATGAAGAAGGGTAGGGGGAGGCCGAGGAAGAACTGAGCTCTCGTGCCTCCGTTGGTAAAAAAAATTAGCCAATCAACATCGAGTGTTCACTTTCAGCGCTGAGGACTGTTGAGAAAAGAATCCTCATAGGGGAGGCTAGCCTCCCTTCTGGTATCAACCAATCATCATAGAGACGTAAATTACGTGATATTAGTTTGAACGTCTGCCGCTGCGCTGATAATGTACCAAGTACTATGATGAGTAGCGATATTGAATATTTGATTGCCAACAGATTTACCAAACTGTCATTCAAACAGTATATTTACAAATAAAAAAAAAAGGGAAAACAGCCTAAGTTGGATATAGGCTTTTTTTTACAGCAGCAAAAATATTTTTTTTCTTGCTTATCCGAAAAAATAGTCCGATCTGTGACTAAAAAAAAACACAATATAATGCGTTGAACCACTATATAATGCTATTATAATACTATATAATAGCCTAATAGGGATGCACTGAATATTCGGCAACCGAAATTATTCAGCCGAAAATAGCAAAAAAATCTCTTTCGGTGTTCGGTCGAATAAGCGAAAAGGCGAATAATATGTACTAGGGTTGCCCCGATTGATCAGCTACCTATCATAATCACTTTGGGATGATTGATCGGGGGTCTCTAAAAAAGCCGATCTCAAAAACCAATCTCAAGCTGATGACGCTGCTGTAAGAGGTTTGGCACGACATGCAGCAGCACCGTTTCAGTCTCTGTCCGGTGCGGATAAAATAATTACAATTACGCGCTCTCTCTTTCATCAAAATACTCAAATCGCTTCAAATCACCACATCGCGGCTGTCTATAAGCGAGCTGCACGCTGCACAGTTGACACAGGATGGCCATCACTTGCACAATCGAGGCAGTGTCACATCGTCACTAAAGTTTATAAATTGGATTACTTTTTAATTCTTGCCAGTGTTTAACCATTCAGCGCTCACGCGCTCTCCTGGAGACCGTGCGCTCATGCACACTCGCACACACATAATGCCAGATTCACACTACTCCGTTTGCAGTGCGTATGTGGCGCATATTTTTTCCGCGCTCATGTTAACGGATTAATAAAGCATGCACACTGCAGACGGTTGTGATCCGGTAGTGCGCTCCAGGAGCAGTGCGTCTGCAGCAGTGCAGATCGTTCTCACACCGAGTCTATGTTTGCTGCGTTGCAAGCGCTGTATTAAAGTAACAGCGCATTGTTTGCAGTAAATATGAACATGGATTGACACGAAAATGTAGTAATTACACCATAAATGCATATAATTAAAGTCTACTGTGTTTCACAATCAACACATATAGCTTTTTAGCTAGGTTTAAAGGGATGCTTTTTTTGACACTTTTAGATCAACAAGGCAATAATAGATGGCACTTGTGGAGGCAGGAAAACAAAGTTCTTTATGAACAACAACAAAAAAAGATATCAATTTATCCTTGCCAAGGCAGATAACTGTATTGCCTCTTCTCTCTGTATAAGAGTAGCCACGTAAAGAGGTGGGGTTGGGGTTTGTATTTCACATGATTTCTTTCTTTCTTTCTTTGTTCTTAATGCCATTAAAGTATGGATAGAAACAGAGTCTGGAAACAGAGGAATTGAATGTGATCTTAATCCCTGACTAAGGGGGATTAGTATCAGAGTATGCTGATTGCATTAAAACGGTCTAAACTACATTCAGTTCGGTAATCTTTACATACTTTACATACAGCTTTACATAAATCTCAGAGTGTGACTGTGTTTTTCTGTGTTACCTGAAACCAGCTTTTAATTACATATATTTTAATACTGTGTTCAGTTTTGGATTTATGTGTGAATTTGTAACATTTTGAGTAACAATAATAAAGATTTTTACATTGTTACAAAAAGATTCTATTTAAAAAAAAAAGTTTGCTCCTTTAAACTTTTGAGTCATCAAAAACTCTAAAAAATAAAGGAAAAAAAAAGAACAAAATGTATCACACTTTGCACAAAAACATTAAGCAGCAGAACCATTTTCAGCAATGACAATAGTAAGAAAAAAATTTTAAGCACCAAATTAGGCATATTAGAATGATTTCTGAAGGTTCATGCACTGTAAAAAATGACCGTGAATTTAACGGTAAAAGACTGTAAAAATGCTACAGTAAAAACCTGTTAAATGGTTAATGGTAAATTCCCCTACTATATACGGTGAAAAACTGTATTGGACATTACATGTATTGGACATTAATTTTACGGTAGTATACCGTTTTTGGAAGTGAAAAAGACTGTATAATTTACAGTGAATAACCGTAAATTGACATTCCCAGAATTCCCTGCGTTACATTTCACATTTGATGTTTTTTTGTTGAAATAACTATGTTTCTTCTTAGTTGTTTCTTATCAGTTTTGTATATTAGGGTTGTGTGTTACACCTAATGTTGTTAAATGAATGTTTATTGCATTATTTCAGTTTCAAGTGTGTTACCATGATGGCGTTTAGTGTCTGTGTGAATGAAACTGTGCACCTTCTATATACAGTGGGTACGGAAAGTATTCAGACCCCCTTAAATTTTTCACTCTTTGTTATATTGCAGCCATTTGCTAAAATTAATTAAGTTATTTTTTTTTCCTCAATGTACACACAGCACCCCATATTGACAGAAAAACACAGAATTGTTGACATTTTTACGGAATTTTTTTTACAGTGTGTAACACTGAAGACTGGAGTAATGGCTGCTTAAAATTCACCTTTGCCATCACAGGAATAATATTCAATTAAAATATTTACTTATTAATATTTTCTATTCCATTAAAAAAAATATTTACTTATTATATTTTCTTTAAATATCTCACAATATTTCAGTTTTCACTGTATTTTTTAAACAAATACATGCAGTCTTGTTAGTTATTATGGAGACTTCTTTCTGAAACAAAACATCTTACCAACCCCAAACATTTAAACAATAGTGTAATTTATTGCTATTTTCCAAAACATGAGTACAGCAATAATCTGATGTTATGTATTGCTTCTATTATAAATGTTATGGTTTTTACCAAACATGAAAACAACACGTAAAAGACTAGGACATTTCCTGACCTGGAAAAGAAATTAAATGACATAGACATTTATTAACAAACAAAATAACTATTTTCAAGTATATTTTAATTTTTCTTTAAGTGAATTCAGATTAATTAATAATCTATTATCTATTTTGATGATGCCACCTGTTTTATCCTCATTTGGCCATGAAGATGGATACACATGGATGGTAGTAGAGGCCAGATCAAATCAGAGTGGACCAGACAATTTCCTACAGTTCTCTCACCGAGAATGTAATTTGTGAATCAGATGGGTTGTTTCATCACCTTTAATCGTTTTGATCACCATTGTCACCCTCAGATTCAGATGAGGTGGGCTTATACTTTGATTTAGCTTTCTTGGCATTCTTTTGTTGCCCCGCTGGCTTTGGGCAGGGCTGCAGAGCCTGTGAGATATCTGTCCATGTCCAACGATCCTCCTTCAATGAGTGCTCTTCCAGGGTGAACTGACCCTGCTTGGTCCGAGTGAGTTCCTTGATGTGAGCACAGGATGACAGAGCTGCGGGGTACAGGGGTGAAAATCAGATTATTATGTCAGGTAAATTAAATGTTAATGTTTGAGGGTAGTATTACAAGAAATAAATATCTCTAGAGTGTTACCTTTTGCAAGATCATCAACCAAGCTTCTGACATAAAACCCACCTCCACACTCAACATCTGTAAATACAAAAAGTAGATTTAAATTTAATGAAAAAGATGAACTAAAGCTGTTCAGCATGACAATGATTTTATGGAGAAAAAAATGTTTTCTAACATAGTGCACTCCAAAATGAAAATTTGTTGAAAATGTACTCACCCTCCAGCCATCCAAGATGTAGATTAGTTAGTTTTTCCATTGAAACAGATTTGGAGAAATGTAGCATTACATCACTTGCTCACCAAAGAATCCTCTGCAGTGAATGGGTGCCATCAGAATGATAGTTTAAACAGCTGATGGAAGCATCACAATAATCGACACTTCAATCCAGACACAACTCCAGTCCATTAATTAATGTCTTATGAAGTGAAAAGCGAAAACAAAACATTTCTAAACAAATATGTCAGTGGACTCTGAGGTGGGAGGACAACAGGGGATGGGCGTTTTCACCAGAGGAAGCGTTTTTATGGATTATGAGCACATATTTTGATTAGAAACAATGGTTTAAAGCTAAAACACCTTAATGATGGGCTTGTTTCTTACAAGCATGCAGCTTTGCACCTCACTAGATGTTAATTGAAGGACTGTGGTCTCTCATTCTGACGGCACCCATTCACTCCAGATGATCAATTGGTGACCAAATGATGCAATGCTAAATTTCTCCAAATCTGTTTTGATGAAGAAACAAACTCATCTACATCTTGGATTACCTGAGGGATGAGTATTTTTTCAGGGAATTGTTTTTTTGTTTTTGGGTGAATTATTTCTTAAACTCTCTAAATACAGTATTAATGAAATTGTACAAGAAAACACATTTACCATTCATTAATACTTATAATATAATGTCTTTCCAAATTTAGCATTTAAATGACAAACCTATGGTGAAATATGGCGGGCTGAAGTCCTGTAAAGAGAGACTGTACACTGTGACTGGACGTGCAGGTTTAGCCTCAACCTCTTGACCTTGCTTGAGCAGGACAGACATGCGCTGGCCATCCTTCTTCAGGGCTGAATATCTTTAAATGCAAACATCAGATTTTCTATGACGTCAAGAAACATAATTCATTTAGACGTCTATGAAGAGTGTATTGTGTATCAAGCAAAACAAATTGACTTACAGAGGTGGAACCTGCATAATTTCACCCGTAAACTGCTTCAGCTTCTCCTCAAAAGCCTCTTTTGTGATGTGATCTGGGAAAAACAAGCACTAATCTTTATAGACTGACTTCTGTGAAATATCCATTCCCTCATCACAAGCAAAATCATAATTCTTCTCACCATAACTCTTCTCTTCAACAACATTTCCTGTGACGTCAAGCGTATCAGTTGCTTTGCCTAACTCTGCAACAGCTCTGTATTTCTATGAAAAAAAACATAGAATCAAATGTTACAGTAATAAAACATGTGGATGACAAATGTAGAAAGACACACAAACATGTTATGACCCAGAAAATACTTACCTTTGATCCTGCAAGCATCGTGGTGAGCATCTTTGTTCCTTCACCAATTCCAACCACTGCAAAACATTAGGTTAAGTTATATTCTTACATATTTTATATTATTTCATATCCTTGAAGCAAAATCCCATAACTTACATGTTTTCTTTCATTTTCTTTCATACTTGTTTGCATTTGTACATTTCAATTACAAGATTATATTTAAACGCTGTTTGTCTGTAGTAGCTAAATAGTTTTTTTCCCCAATTAATATTCACATACACTAGTCCATATCGCGGTTTGATTGAAGTGCACTGAATTGCATTTGATTTATTCTTTCAATATTTAATGAATTCCGTGACATTGCTCGTTACACAGTAAACTTCTAAAAGGGGTTGTTTAATTTTCATTGGAATAAAAGATAGATTAATGTTTTCGCCTTCATTTGATTACCAGAAAAATGAAAATACACAACACAGAATTTCTAAAAAAATAAGTAAATAAAATTAAAATTTCATAGGGCCCTATTATTGTATACAAATTAATAAATTAAGTTGTTTTATGAATTCAATTAATTAGATATGTTTTTGATTAAACCATTAAAATGGAATACAGAAAAAAAAGCGCAGAATTTGGGCCCTAAGAATGTAATTTTTGTTAAACATTTAATATGCCAAAATTGCTGTTAAATTAAACAAGTTTCATGATTTTAATTAACTAAACATGTTTTTTTTTTTGTTAAAATTTAATATAATCATCCAGACAAAAAAGAAAAGAAAAAAACGGAATCCAGAAAAATTTAAACGGAAAAAAAGATTTTGGAAAAAATAAAACGGATTTCATAGGGCCTTACAAATATCACGCATCTGAAGCTATAATTTTAATACTAAGCAACAGTGCATATTATATAGGTCCTATTTAAATTTTTTTAAATGGCGCTCACTCGTTTTTGTGAAAGACCCAAGAAGGACCATGCACAGTCACTTTCCACACAGGCACACTTCATGTTTGGTTGAAATAAACCTTAAGCATGTAAATGTATAATTTCCTTCAGTTTAATTTAAATGTGCAATTAAAATAAATAAAAATAAATGTATATTTTAAAGTTTAGAATTAGACAGCCTTGCGTTGTGTAGACAATTGCATAGTGAAAATGACCCCAACGCACCACCTAGTGTCCAACCTACTCTAATACTATTATAACCTGTTTAAATGTGAACAAGGGATTTACAACATTAAAGAAATCCTTTATTTATAACATGTACATGAAAAATCTAAAAGATTAGACACAACTATGGGACACGGTCGTGCAGCAGCGAGCAACAGTGAAAGGAACCTCAAGGTTGTAAATGTGTGAAATTGTATAGGGCCCCATTCCTGTATTTTGCCCCCAAATCACTAAATCCGCCCCTGATCATAATATAATTGTCTGCTTTCTTATATAAGCATTTTCGTCCTTCGTATTTTACTAACTCGTATAAAAGCAAATCTACCAGCATAAAAAAAAATATTATATTATTCAAATAAAGGCGTCGAAGATTGTACCTTTAAAGTTCACAGTAAAATATTGAAGCACATGATGGCGACATTTACCCACTATTACTGAAGAAGTGTAGCCGTAGGATAAACAAAACAATGTGTCGGCTGTTTGTTATATTTCCACATATCAATTAGGCCTATATAATAAGGATTATGAATAAGTATTATTATTAAAGTAGCCTAGTATTAGAATAAGTAGGCTATTATGCAATTAGACTAATATTGTGTTAGCCTACTAATAGAGGGTGTATTTATTATTATAACAGTATTATTATAATTCTGTTTATTAATGCGTTTTTAGAATGGTACATTTTAAATGGTACATTAACCAAGTGCGATCTTTTATAAATGTACACACTAGACAAATCACAGTGATTTTAATCTTCGAAAAGAAAGGGTCTGCAAAGATCATATAAAATATAAAAACTTAAAAAGCAATATCACAATCTGTTAAAGTCAGAAAAACAGTAGTTACTATTAAAGCAGGAGTAGCTAGTCAAAATATAACTGCTTCAGCTGTAACTGTAGCCACATACCGTAGCAATCTTTGAGGACACGCCCATTGTGTAAGCCTCCGGTTCCCGTTATTCAGTCGCGCTTTGTGGTGATCACTGATGCCTAGCGCCAGAGCTGCTCCGCTGCTCGTGGACATACAGCTCGCACACTTTCTGCTTATCTGAAGTCGGGGACTTGTGTTTTGGATTGAAAGGCACATTGGCGACCACCGTCATTTTATTTCAGGAGGAAAATCCACAGTTTTCTTACTGCATCATGTCAACAAGAGGTAAGCAGTTTTTATGTAGTTTTAAAAAGGCATGCTCTAATTTGCGAGGACAAATGTCTTATTCATACGTAGCCTACTCATAAAGAGGTCAGTCTATCTGACACGAGTTTTATTCTGCTGAGAATGAAGCTAGCTTTAACTTGAGACGCGATGAGACTGTCATCTCTCTACACCTGTCCTGAAACAGTTGTTTTTGCATATGTCAAATCTGACAACTACATGTGAGTTAAACTAGTAATGCTACATGCATTATCGTAGTAGCCTACTTAACTATAAAAATTTAGTAGCCTATTAATTTGCTTTTTTCTGTTTCTGATGTGTAGGCTATTGAAATGGAATTTTGATGTTTTTTTGATGCATTAACACAATTTGTGTAAAAAAAAAAAAAGTTTGGGAGACAGTTTTGGCGAAAGGTGTCCCTTTATCTGGATAATTTTCTTTTTGACTTTGCATAATATCTCACAATTTCTTCAGGGATTCCTGACAAGATCTGGTTCCAAACTTCCAATTAAAAAAGTGATGTTTATTGTAGGCCTATTATATTCTTTACAGACTTAAAAAAATGGCCTGAAGACAACTGAAGGGTTAAATAAGTTCAAGAAAGGACACAAAGAAGAAACAAAGCCTATTACTTGACTAGTGTATTATTTGCATTTTGTCCTCTCTTCTTTTCATATTAGTGTCACACAAGATGATGCTATGTATATGCCCACTGAATGTTTCTTTTTATTATTCTTGCTTTGACATTTCAAATGGTTTCTGGACTTCAATTACAGACTCACCGCAACCACTGCAGATGATTTGTGATGCTGAGTCTATTTAAAGAATCGGGCTACTGCCACCATGAGCCACAGACTCAGTCATAAGCCTCGAGCATGCTATAATTACAGCATGTGTTCAAAAACTTGTGTGTCTAAGAAATTATTCTTGAAAAGTGTTGCAGTATTATTGATTTAGCTTTTGTGATTTCTAAGTCTGAGACTTGCTTTTCTATCTCGGCTAGAGAGGCTCGAGTGGATGAATGCCAGTATTACAGAGTTTATGTCTCTTTTTTTAATAATTATATAGTTGTTCTCAAGAATGGTGCTTTTCTTCAAATGGTGCAGTCTTTTTGAATTAAATCTAAATGACAAAGACTGCAACTTAAAATGAAGTAGATGCAGAATAGTTCTGTATATAAATCTGGAGGTTTTCGGTCATACAATTCCTGCATCAGACATTTTGGCTGGAAGTGTGTTTAACTTCGGTCTTGAGTTTGCTTTCAGACCGTTACATTTTGGTGAAGTCCTATTCACAGCACTGTCTACTTCCAAGTGCAATTCCATGTTTTTCTTGCCATGTCCCTATGACCCCTAGTAGCCCAGAGTAATGGAGTTCACTTTAAACTTTGCACTTAAGATCAACAAGCCATTTCCCAGTTGTCCAGTCATTTCATTTTAGTTGTTGAGGTCACTGGAGTGCAATTATCACACCAGACATCTGTAAAACTGTGGAACAAGTTTGACAAAGCAAAAACAATTAATCAAAAGTAGGGATAAATAGAGCAAGCGGTCATACAGGAGGTTATATCTCACTAAATATAAGGTTTGTGATGAAACAATGAATGAAACAGCATGCAAAAGCAAAAAAGCTCTTTAATGGCAGGATCTATTGTACCAGCTTAGAATATAAGTGCAACTGCTGTTGGGGCATGTTGTCACAAAAAGGTTAATGTGTGTTAAATAAACTATATCTTTTTTTCCTGGGAAATAATAATGGAAATACTTTTTTGTAGCCATGACTTAAAAGCATGTAATTAAAAAAAAAAAAAAAAAACCCTGAGAAATATTTACTGAAGTAAAAAATTGTGACAACTACCTCCGTTCTCCTCTATTCAAAAGAACAAACAATTAAACACTAACTGGTAGATTTTCTTGACGTGATTCTCAATATCCTCCCAATTGTTCACACATCTTTTAATGGGGCATTCCCTCTTTCTCTCTGTATCTCCATTTCTTGGACCCAAGATCATTGTCGGCCCCTGGAGAAGCCCAGTTAAAGCTGTCTGCTGAAATCAGTGTGAGAATCTGAAAAGTAAACCGTCTCTAACAACATCCAGCGAGCAGGAACCTCTCAAGACTTGCTTTTCTTTGAGCTTTAATCAGAGCAGTGATACCACTGTTTTCTTTCCCAACAGCCCTCACATATATTCTCCAGGAAAGACGACTTTGTGACAGCTCTATCACTTTCACCTTCAGAAATTGGCCGTTTTTGAGATGGAAAAACAAACTGATGATGGTTCAGTGTGTTTCTTAAAGCTATAGGTCAGCCAAAAATTCAAATTCTGTCATAATTTACTCACCCTCACTATTCCTTTAATGTGTTACAACACAAGAAAATAATTCTAAATGACTAAATAACTTCTTGTGAGATATTTCAAGACTGATTAGACTGAGGATTGTAAACGAGGTGTGCTCTACTTATCACTGTCCCAATTCAGGTCATCCAAGCCCCTGTAAGATATGTCTCTTATCATTGCTTTAAGTGGTTGTCAGACTCTGAGACTTGTCTCTTGATGGGGGTGAGCAGGATGGAATCCAGAGCGCTTGGAGTTTTGCTGCAATAGAACCTACTGTGTTTGACATGGCTTTGCTTCAGAGACACGGAAACACAGTCACTTTACTTCAGCAGAATGACACATCATAATTCCTGCTGTCCAGCTCAATGCTACGCTTTCTTTGTATCCTGTTTAGTCACTTGGGTTTAGTCAGAG